AAGCCAAGAATAAAAGGGGGCCTCCTTCCTGCTGCTTCCCGTGGCTGACTCCTGCTCTTTCTTAAGGTCTCAGCTCAGCTGTCACCTCCCCATGAAAGCCCCCCTGGGTCCCCAGGTGGACTGCACCCATCTGCCAGAGGAAGCAACTGAGGCTCCAAGAAGGAACGTTTCCTCCCGCCAGGAATAATGGGGGGCTCACTACCCTCAGAGGCAGCAGCAGGTCAGGCCACCCCCTCCCCAACCACACACACCCACATTCGCACGTGTCAGTGAGGGGGGGTCGCCCCGGGCCCTGTGACCCTGACCCCACGCTGAGCCCGGGGTGAAGACAGCCCCCCACGCTCAGGGCCCCCGGGAAAGTTCCATAGACCTCCTGGTCTGGCCCGGGGTGGGGGCTCCAGCGAGGTTCTCCCCTCCTCTGCCCCCCCCCCGGGGCGCGCCACCCACCCCCTTTCCCAAGTGGCTTTGGGGGGATAGACAGATGGCCCGGGGACAGATGGATCTGGGCACGTGGGCGTGGGGGCGCGGGAGGGGGGTGGTCTGGCCACCGCCACGGGTCCCCAAAGCGCGCCGGAGGCGGGGAAGCCTCCAGGCGGGGGAGGAGGGGCTCCTGGGGGCCCCTGGAGAACAGAGGTCCCCCCCTCCATCCTTCATCCCCAGGGTCCCATTGCGCAGGTGCGAGGCAGAGGCCCAGAGAAGGGGATCACTCGCTCCGGGTCACACAGCCCGATCTCGGGGTGCCTCTGACGCTGGGTGGGTCTAGGGTCTGCGGTGACTTGGACCTGGGGACCCTGCCCCGCACGCAGATCCCGCCCGGCCTGGCGACCCGGTCCCGGGACGCGGAGGCGCCGCGGGCCGGGCTGTGGGCAGAGCGCGCCCCCTGCTGGACACGGCCGGAATCGGCGCGGCCACCACCCCCGGGCCCAGGGACCGAGACCCCACTCCGGGCTGAGCCCCCACCCCGGCTGATGCTGATCCCGGACAGAGCCCCCGACTCTGGGCTGGGCCCCAACTCTGCGCTGAGCTCCGGACCCCGGATCGAGCCCCTGGCCCCTTCTTTACAAGGTCCAGCCCCCTGCCCGGCTGGGGGGACCCCAAGGATGTCGGGGCCACCCAGAGGAGCTGTGCACCTTACGCCCGACTCAACCTGTCCCAGGTTCTAATCCCACCTCTGCCACAACCTGGCTGAGTGGCCTGGGACGGGTCACTTGCTTCCTCTGATCCTCAATCTCATCATCTGTGAAATGGGACGCCTGTCCCCCATCGCGGGGTTGCTGTGAGGTTTTGGTGAGTGAATCACGGTCAAGGGCTAACAGTGACTGGCAGGCAATGATGACCCAGAAATATTCGCTAGGACATTGTTGCTGTTCTGACCGGATGTGCTGCTGGGCACTTTAAAAAGCCGCTCTATTGAGATCTAGTTCACATACCGTACAATTTACCCATTTAACGTGTACCATTCAGTCACTTTCGTATATTACATTATTCATTTTTTTAATTGTGGTAAATATATCACAAAATTTACCATTGTAACCATTTTTAAGTGCACAGTTCAGTGGCATTAATTACATTCACACTGTTGTGCAACCATCCCCACCATCCATCTCCAGAACTTTCTCATCTTCTCAAACTGAGACTCTGTCCCCATGAAACACTGACTCCCCGTCCCCTGCCCCAGCCCCTGGCCCCACCATCTACTTTCTGTCTCTATGGATGTGACTCCTCTAGGGGCCTCCTGTGAGGGGATCACACAGTGTCTGTCCTTCTGTGTCTGGCTCATGTCGCTGAGCATCATGTCCTCCAGGTCCATCCACGGTGTCACATGAATCAGAATTTCCTTCCTTTTATTGTGGAATAATATCCCATTGTCTGGATGGACCACATTGTGTTTATCCATCCTCCATCGATGGACACTTGGGCTGTTTCCACCTCTTGGCTACTGTGACTCATGCTGCTGTGAACACGGGTGTGCAAATATCTCTTCGAGACCCTGCTTTCAACTCCTTTGGGTCTATACCTAGGAGTGGAATTGCTGGTCCTCTGGTAATTCTGGGTTTAGCTTTTCAGGGAACCACCAGCCTTTTCCACAGCGGCTGCCCCCCTTTACATTCCCACCAGCTATGTGCAAAGGTTCTAATTTCTTCATATCCTCATGGGCACTTTTACTTTTTATCTTCTATGTGGACCTCTAGGCTTTATTATTCCCATGTCACAGATTCAGAAAACTGATGCTCAGAGAGAGGAACACAGGTAGGCAGACAGTGACAAAGCTGGGTTTGAGCCCACCTTGGTCACACTCCGCCCAGGCCCACCCTTGACTCTCTGAAGCAATCGGCTGTGGTTTGGTGGGTGCTAAAAACACTTCCTCTGTCTTTATGGCCCCCATTAGCTACCCTGATCCCAAAGAATGAGTCTCCATAGTTTGGGGCTCTGGGGCTGTGAAGAGACAGATCTGTAACAGGGGGTCTCAGCCAGGGCGATCCTGCGCCCCAGGGGACACTTGGCAATGGCTGCAGACGTGTGTGGTTGTCACGGCCTGGGGGGACGGGTTCTCTGGCATTGAGTGGGTGGAGGCCAGGGCTGCCGCTAGACACCCTACACTGCCCAGGGAAGGCCCTCCACAACCAGCCCCAAATATCAACAGTGCTGAGGATGGTCACCCCTGGCCTGGAGAGAGCGCAGGACCCGGCTGTGGGTGGGAAGAAGTGGGTGTGAAAACCTGGCCCTGTGTCTTGTGCCTGTGTGTCCTCAGGCAAGTCGCTTCCCCTCTCTGGGCCTCAGTCTCTCCCTCCAAAGCGGCATAAAGAGACATTTTATTATTTTTGCCTCATGAGACCTACGCCAGGGTTATGTGTCCCCCGCATACCAGACAGGCACTCAACAAAATCTGCTGTCTGGGCTGCTCCGGGCCTCGGCGGCAACGGGGACCCAGGGCTGGGGCCGCAGGGAGGAAACGGAGCAGCCGGGGAGCTGGGAGCCTCTCCCGGGCCGGGTTCCCAGGACTCACAGCTGCATCCTCCCCGGGGGGCCGCAGCTGGCCCCGCCGCACCCCCCGCTGGCGGCCAGGAGGCCCCTGCGTGCCCCGAGGGCTCCTTCCCACGAAACCCAGGCTGGACCTGGGAGCCCCCTGGTGGGGTCTCCACTGCCTCAAACCCCACCCCAAGAATTTACCTGTGACCCAGAAACCTTTACCTACCAACCTGGGTCAGATTCAGCCCATCTGGGGGGGCGGGACAAAAATCTGCATTTTTCAAGGGGCTCCCGGGTGATTCTGATGGAACGTGTTCCCCGGGGCTGTACTTTAAGAAACATGCTTCTGCCCACATTCCTGTTACCCAGATGGGTAAACTGAGTCCCACAGGGAGGGAGGGGCCTGCCCGGGGCCACACGGTTGGTCTGTTTCTTTCTGGCTCTCTGTCTCCTTCTCTCTTCCCCCCGGGTCTCTCCCTGTTTTCGACTCTGCGTCTCCTTCCGGTCCTTTCTCGGGCAGGGGCCCCTCCGGCCGCGCCCCCCACGCCCCCCGCATCCGGCCCCTGCGGCGATTCCGGAGGAATCCCCCGAGCCTCTTGGCCCCGCCCCCTGCGGGGGTGACTGCTCCCATTGGTCTGTTTGTACGTGGCTCGCGCTGCCATTGGCTGAGCCCGCGCCCTCGGTCCGCCCCCCGCGTCCGGCCCCTCTCAGGTTCTCTCCGCGCGGGCGGGGTCGGAGGGGCGTGGCCGAGGGGATGGGCGGGGCGACGGGTGGGCGGGGCCGCGCTTCCCGCCCCGCCCCGCCCGCCCAGTCCCCGGCGCGAGTCCCCGGCCGCCGCAAAGACCCCTCGGAGGCGGCGGGACAGAGCCCCGACGATCGGACCGACGGACGGGCCCCGGGGAGCAGGTGAGCGAGCGGCCCCCCAGCTCGGCGCATCTCGGGGCCACGTGGCCGCCCTCTGTCTCTCCGCCTCCCCAGGCCCTGCTCCCCCACTCTGTCTGTGCTCCTGCCTCAGTTTCCCTGTCTGTCACCCTGTCGCTCTCTTGCTGTGCGGGTTTGGGGGAGGCCGAGGGGGTCAGAACTGCGCCGCGCTGGCGTGGGGCTGTGCTCTGGGGCCACCCCCCCGCCCATGGGGACGCTGATGGACTCTGCCCCTTTCCCAGCGCGGGGTGCCAGGGCCGGATTCCAGACTCGGAGGGCATTCCAGGCGGCGGGCGGCCCGGCCACAGGCGCCGAGGTGGGCGTGAGTGTGGCTTCTGGCCGGGCCCAGCGGCCGGCGGAGCCAGGGCCAGGCCCACCCGGACTGGCCACCTGGGCGCTCCGCCGTGGCCTGAGGGCTTGGCCTCAGTTTTGCCAGCTGTGAACTGGGCGCGCCGCCGCCCAGGTAATTGGCGGGTTGTCTGACCTAGATCTGCAGGCGTCACCGCCTCCCATCCTGGGGGGCCCTCCTGGAGGAGGGGCAGCCCCCGCTGTAAACAGGCCTCCGAGGTTACTTCTGGGCATTTCTGAGCCCAGCTGGCGGAGGTGAGTGCCCTGGGGGGAGCCCCCCCGCAGCGGAGTGAGGGCAGTTTAGCCCAGTGGTTGGGGAGTCCAGACCTTGAAATCCGACAAACATGGGTTCCTGCTCTGCCGCTTGCCGTGGTTCCTTGAACAAGGGATTCGATTCTCCGAGCCCCAGCTTCCTGTCTGTAAAATGGGGGGCAGGGGGGGTGACATATCTCCTTGGGGGTCAGGGCTGCTTCCAGGATTAAATGCAGGCTTGTGGGCCTGCCTGTCTCCTTCTGGCCCTCCCCTCCTCCCTCCCTCCCCCTCGCTCACTCTGCTCCAGCCACACGGGCCTCCACGTTCCTCCAACACGCCTGGCCCTGCCTCAGGGCCTTTGCACGGGCTGTTCCCTCTACGCCTGGCCAGGTCCACAGGCGCCAATTTTAAAACATAACAAATTGCCGAGATAGGCCGGGCCAAGGAGTGCGAGGCTAGGGCTGGGCGGCTGGGAGAGGCGGAGGAGGGGCCGGCCCAGGACGCTGTACCTATGGAAACCAGAACAAAGAGCTGTCGCCCAGCCACGCAAACACCTGGGCTGTGCGTCTTCCACTGGCTGGCCAGGCAGCCTGGGACGCCGGTGGTGGGTGAGTGCCGGACCCCTGGGGGTGGATGGGGGGCTGGAACCCCACTCTGAAGGGGCACAGGGGGTCCCTAAGCAAAGAGACGAGTCAGGCAGGTGCAGATTTGAGGCCCCACAGTGTCCCCTCCCGCTGAGTGGCCTTGGGTAACTCAGGTGTCCCCTTATCTGAGGCCTGGGGAGGTGACGGGCCAGTCCACGGCGGGGCCAGGAGCCTTTGGTTGCTTGGTGATTCCGTGCAGTGGGTTCAGGAGGCCTCAGTGTCCTCATCTGTCAAATGGGGCACCAGAGGGTGTCTGAGGACAGAACTCCACCTGTTGTCATGGAAACGTCCCGCCCAGAGGCAGATGCTGGATAATGACTCACCCTGGTCCCGGTTCAGCCCCAGGTGTGAGGCGGAGAGCAGGGGCCTGGAGACCCAGTGTGGGCGCCTCCCCTGGGGTCCCACCCACTTGAGCTGGTAGGTCAGTTATTCATTCAACGAACAGTTTCTGAGCACCTACTGTGAGCCAATCCAGTGCTCTCCCTCCCTTGACTCACAGACTGGGGTTGGGGGAGATGGATGTTCATCCAGAAAAATCATTACGCTTAGTTGTAATTGCATGGTGATGATGGAGGGACAGATGGATGGGAAGTTAGTTCTGATGGGGGGTCTGGGCAGGCCTCCTGAGGAGGTGACATTTGAGCTGAGGGCTGAATGACAAGAAAGAAACAGCCATGCAGAGACCTGAGGGGAAGAGCATTCCAGGCAGAGGGAACAGCCTGTGCAAAGGCCCTGGGGCAGGACCGGGCCTGGCGTGTTGGAGGAACAGCCAGGAGCCTGTGTGGCTGGAGCAGAGGGAGCGAGGGGGAGAGGGGGAGAGAGGGAGGAGGGAGGGCGAGGAGGGGATGGGGCAGGTTGTGTGGGGCCTGGTGGTGGCGGGGAGGAGGTGGGCTTCTCCCCTGACGGAGGCGGGAGCCCTGGAGGGCTGTGGGCACAGGAGGGGGACCTGACTCGGGCTCACAGGCGCCCTCTGGTGGGGGCTTCGGGGAGGACGGACTGTGTGGTCCAGGGCGGCAGCTGGGTCCAGGTGGGCTCAAGGCAGTGGGTGCCGTGATGTTGGTGGGGGACATTGTGTGGGAACAAGGACGGGGGGGTGCATTTGTCACGGCGGGCGGAGGCCTGGGGCCCCTGAGGCCACCCCCGGCCACTGCGGCCGGGGCTGAGAGAGGCGAGACGGAGCGGGTCCATCAATTATTGACGCCCGTTGTGCGGGGCATGAAGAATTCATGTGGGGCGGGCTGCCTCGTCCCAGCTCACGGGAGCCCCTTGCTGTATTTTCCGGAATTTCACCATTTAATAATTTTGTCATTATTCAAAATGACACACTATGAATTTACAGTTAACACATGATATTTAAGAGAAAGGTATAGATGATTATTGGGCCCTGAAGAGGGGTGAGGCCCTGACACAGCCACACCGTGGATGGACCCTGAACACACGATGCTCAGTGAGAGAACCAGACACAGAGGGACACACGGTGTGTGATCCCCTTGATGTGAAATGTCCAGAACAGGCACATCCACAGAAACTGGGTTCGTGGTTGTCAGGGGCTGGGGAGGGGATGGGGTTTCCTTTGGGGTGATGGAATGTTCTGGAATTAGTGGTGACGGTTATTCAGTGCTGTGAATATATAAACACCGCTGAACTGTCCACTTTAAAAGGGTGAATTCTATGGTATGTGAATCATATTTTGAGAAAACTAAAAAAAGCAAAGGTAAAAAATAGTCAAAAATCCTAACTTTCTCATAATTTTACTCCATTTTACTACCACCTCTGCTCTTGAGGTTATTTTCCCCTGGTGTAGCTATTTGGTGGAAATGATCAGCATCTCTTCCCAACTCCGCATTGGCTGATGGCAACCTGGAAGCTTGAAATTGACCATGGGGGGAGAATTTACATCACGGAAAGTGGCAAATACCGCAAATCAGGGCTTGATTTGTTGTTCCGGTGATTGTCTAGACCAGAGATTGGCACTTTTTCCATGAAGGGCCAGAGAGTAAATTTTTTGGGCTCGGCAAAGCCACACAGTCTCCGTTGCATCCCTTCCTCACTGCCATAGACTGTATGTAAATGAGTGGGCGTGGCCATGTGCCAATAAAACTTTATTTACAAAAGCAAGCAGCGGGCCACCGTCTGCCCACCCCTGGCGTAACTTAAGAAAATGTCAATAATGAAAATTACGCGTAAAAGTGCCGCATGTCCGTGGCTGTTTCCTCGTGAAGAGCGCAGAAGCGTTAGATTCTCCCACTATTTGAAAACTGCTAGCTGATTCTGGAAAGAAATTGCTCCCATCACTCATGAAGGAATGAGCGAAGTTCTAATTCTCCTCGTTCCACGTTAGTCTTCCTTGTTAACGCAAAGGAGGACATTAAATGACGTCCGTGTCACAACCGCACCCGCGTGTCAGTCGAAACAGTAGGCTGCCGACACGAGTTTGACACAACTCGCCGAGAACATTCCGTGGGAATCAGTTGGCGACGTGGAATTTACAATAGAGGCCTGTGTCGTTGATAACGCCTGTAAGGTGTGTGGTCCACATCCTTTACGCCAGGAACAGTGATGATAAACCTGTGCCTGTACATCTATGGGGACAGTTTTTTCCGGCAAGGTGGCGGTTAAGAATTTTCCAGCACGTGTCGAGTGGGACACGGCCTTCACAGAATACCCGAGGGGCAGCGAGGACCCTGGAAGTGGGATGTCTTGCCCCGTGGGGTCCCCGCATCACCCCCACGTCCAGTGGGGGCTGCAGACCCCACCAGGAGTAGGACAGACCCGTTTCCTGCCTTCATGGCCCCATGTTGGGTGCGGGAAGCATAAATCATAAATCAACAGGCCGATCCAATGAATTGTGGAAAATAAACGGGTGAGCTTGAGAAGACGGGGGTGATGTCAAGGAAAGCGTCTCTGAGCAGGGGGACCTTTACGCTGAGAAGGCCCCCCAGTCCCATGGCAGAGGGCACAGCATGTGCAAAGGCCCTGAGGCTGCCATGTTGCAGGGACAACGAGGAGATCGTGGGCTGGAGACAAATGAGCGACGGGGAGACAGGAATGCCCCTCGGCCTCTGCCTCTGCAGGTAAAGGATGCTGTCCTGCCGAGAGCAACCCTGAGGCTCGAGGTCGGGGGGCAGAATGTGGGGGGCAGGGCAGGAGTCGACAGAGCCAGGGACTCAGCGCCTGGACGCCCATTTCACAGATGGGAAAGCTGCCCCTGGGTCGTGGGGCTTGTCTGGGGTCCCAGCAGGGAGGCCTCAGGGCTGTGGGAGGACAGAGGCCTCCTCGCTGTTCCTCTAACACGCCAGGCACAGTCCTGCCCCAGGGCCTTTGCACCAGCCATTCCCCACGCCTGGCTCCCCTTTGTCCCAGACCTTGCCTTCCAGTCCCAGCTCTGGGGGCTCCACCTCAGAGAGGCCTTCCTGACCATCCGGCCAAGGTCACCTGCTGTCCCTCCCCGCCCCCCGGGCCCTTATCTCTCCCTGAAATTATCCTGTTTATTTCTGTGTCCGCTGGTTTCTGGCGTCTCCTCCTTCCAGCGGGGGCGACAACACCTCTCAGGGGCTTGTTCTGGAATTTTGGAGGGCTTTCCTTTCGCTTGTGATAATAACAGGATGTTCTGGCAGCTGAGGGGGCAGGGACCAGGGACACCAGCCCTCCAGCCACGCTTGGGGCAGCCCCCCGGCCCCCACGACTTCCTCTGTCCCGCCAGAACAATAAACCCACGAGCGGGGTTTTTTTGCCCTGTTTTAATATTCCGTGAACATTCCCGAAATGCACCTCCTGGGTAAATCCAGGGAAGATGGGGGCTCTTTGTGGACGAGAATTTCTAGCTCCGTGTCCTTGCGATGTCCCCGGGGGACAAAGGGCAGTGGCCCTGAGCTTTTAAGGAGGGAAAATCTTTTTCATGAACACGCGTCGAGCGCCCACCGTGTGCCTGGCTGTGTGGACGTGGTTGACACGTCTGAACTGTGAATCCCTTTTCTTTCTGTTCGTGTCACAGTTTGGGCCAAATCCTGATTTAAAAAAATTTAAATTTATTTAAGGTTTTAAAAACGAGGCATAAAATATATCCAGTAAGGGGCACAGAGGCGTAAAATATAAACGCTTAATACGTGGACAGTAAGCGTCCAGCTTGGCGACATGTAATTCACATACCGTCAATTTCACCCTTCAAAAGCGTACAATTTGCCGGTGTTTGTGTTTTCACGTTGTTGTGCGATCATCTGGCTCTGTGCCTTTTTACAGTCGTGTAGACCCAGATCAGGACACAGACATGGAACATTCCAGACCCTCCCCGCTCAGTCTCCCTCCGAGGAGGACCTGTATCGCTGTCTATGAATTTTATTTTTAAACTGGCAGGTAGAGGCAGATGATGGTGTGTGTGGACTCCGTGTCAGGGACATATGGGGACACCCAGGTTAACTCGTAACGAGAAGGTGGCTGAGGTCTCGAAGACCGGGGTCCCCGGGAAGGCAGGGACGGGGTCTCTTTCGGTTGTTGCTGGATCCCCAGTGCCTGGTACACAGTTGGCGCTCCATAAATGCTTGTTGAGTGACTGAATGAGCGTTCCCACCGAGCCCCTGAAGCCTTAGCGGGCTTTTGTGGCTTGTGACCGTAGTGGGCTGTTCTGGCATTCGGTGGCAGGGACCGGGGACACTGGCTGTCCCCGGGCAGGGCTGACGTGGCCCCTCCTGGCCGGCTGCCCTTGGCCCCGGGTGAGCTGGGCGGCAGGAAGGAAGGCTGGTTATTTTGGTCCCCGGCCTGCTCCCCTGGGAGAGCTGTCATCTGCCCGTCTGGCCACTGGGATGGGGCGTTGCTGGCGGAACAATGGGACGGGGACGGGGACGGGGGGCGCGCAGCTGGGCTGGCCCAGGTGTCGCAGGCCTGGGGCTGGCCCAAGGGACTGGGAGTGGGGAGGTCAGAGGGAGGCCGCAGCTGCCCCTGCCCCGGCCCCTTTTCCTTCTGGGCTTGGGAGGGAGGTGCTGCCGGGGCCCGGGCCCTTCCAGAAGCCTGTCAGCAGGCCCAGCTCCCCTCCTGAACCACCCGCCAACCTCAGGACCTGCAGATGGGAAGGTCAAGGCCCAGAGAGGGGCAGAGCCCTGCCCCGGGGTCACACAGCATCCGAGAGGCCCTCAGGGTCCAGACACCAGGGCCGCGCCCCTGGACTCAGGGCAACGCCTTTCTCTCTCTCTCTGAGCCTCAGTTTGTTCATCTGTAAACTGGGCAGACCGGACCCAGGGCCTCGGGAGCCCCCCTCTCGATTCTGAGGTTTGCAGAGATCCTTCGCCTGGTGCATTCAACAAACACTTATGGGGCGCCCGCTGTGTACCAGGCCCGGGCTGGCCACTGGAGACGTGGTGTGAACAAAGGAGACTCAGCCCCTGCCCGCGCCATGGGGCCAGGGAGGTGGACATGGAAACTGGGGTGCTCAGGGCTGCGATGGAGGAAGCCCAGGGCGCCGTGGGGGCCGGGGGGGCACCTGGCCCAGCCTGGGGCATCTGGGAGGGCTTCCAGGAGGAGGTGACGACTTGAAGGATGAGTAGGAGTTTACGGGATGAGTAATGGGGCCAAAAGGTCCAGGTAGAGGGAACAGAATAGAATGTTCTAGAAAAACTGGTGGGAGGGTATCTGGGAGGCATAGGTACTCTTAGTGCCAAGCGGCCAGCCCGATGCTGCTGCTCTTTTTTCCAGAGAATTTCACAGAGAAGGTCGACACACTGGGGGTGCTGAGTGGTTGGAGCCTGAATGGCCAGGCCCCAGGCCGTGGGGTCCAGCCTCTTGCCCAGGGGAAGCCCACAGCCTGGGGGGCACTGGGTCGGCCACACGCTTCTGCCCCGGGACCGAGTTAGTTCTGATTTTCCCCATTTGACAGATGGGGAAACTGAGGCACGGGGCAGCTATGTTCCTCCACCAGGCGGTCAGAGCTGGGAGCAGGCCCTGAATATTGGGGTGTCACGGGGGTCAGCTCCCGGCCCTCCAGGACTCGGAGTGACTGGCAGGCGTCAGGCAGGGAAGGCGGAGGGAGGCGGGCAGGCAGAGGCGGCGGGGGCGGGCAGTCACCGAGCTGCTGTGTGGCCGTGGGGAAGTGGCTCAGCCTCTCTGAGCCTGTGTAATTTCTGCAAGACGGGCAAGCCGCCCAATACTGGCGGGAAGTGACGCACTGGGACCGGCCACGCGGGCCTGAGTCAACAGCATCCCTGCGCCGGCCCCGCTGCGGAGCCCCGGGGTCGGTGACCGGGTGGGCGCAGGAAGGCTGGTCCAGTGACCCCCGCGCCCGCCCTGACCCCTGAGGGCAGGGGAGAGGGCGGCCGAGGGTTGGGCTCCTCCCGGGGTCCGAGCTCGCACAAAGACGGCCTTGTGGGGCCCCGGGGTGAGTGGGCGCCCACGTGGCATTCCTGGCCGGCTGGCCTGGGGCCAGGGTGGGGGTGGGTCTCAGGCTCCCCGCGTTCATTCGGCAGACGTTTCTAGAGTCTCCAAGGAGACATCGGATAAGGAATGAGACCCATTACCTCCCCCGTGGCCTGGGGTCAGGCAGACCATTGAGGAAGCAAAGCCTGTGGGGGGGGGCAGAGCAGTGATGGGGGACGCCTGGGGCACTGTGTGGCCCAGAGGAGGGGCTTCGCGCTCAGTTTGGCTGTTCTGGGGTGGCTTCCTAGAGGAAGTGGTGTCCAGGCTGAGCTGAGGGATGAATCTGTGAGGGGAAGAGGCAGGGGCTTGGGGGCCAGGGCTTTGGGGGATGTATAGGAGTTCACCAAGGAAGAGGCAGGGGCTTGAATGAGGTATGGGGCTTGGTCCTGGGAGCTGCCAGAAGGTTCTCAGAAGGGAAGGGCTATGCCCAGATGTGCAGTTTAGGAAGAACTCTGGTGCTGTGGGAAGGAGGTGGTTGGACCCTCTCTCACCAAAGCGCGGGATGGGGGTGGGGAATGATGAGCTGGACCCCCTGTGATAACTCACCTTGAGCCCTTTCTCAACTCACAGCAAGGGTATGGTGGGTTTGGGGGGCTGGTGCCAGGGCCCACAAGTAGTGGGCCTCAGAAGGCCTACCCAGATTTCGCCATTAGGCATTCATTCCTTTGACTTAGCACTCTCTTTTGTTTTAAGAAACCAATCCCCTTAGGTCCCTTAGGGTCCCTTGGGGCATCATCTCTTCAGTGTGAATGCTGCTTTTCCACAAGCTTTTCCTATGCAGGTTCTTGTGCTCTGTGTTCCCCCACCTTCTCCTCTGCCCCTTCCTCCAGGAAGCCTGTGGGGCTCTCTTGACCGGCTGGGGTGCCCGCGCTACGGGCTTGTGGCTTCCCGGATCGTGTCACTTGCCACGCGTTCCTGCCCTGCTCGCGGGTCCACTCTGCCCAGCCCTGGCACGCAGTGGGTGCTCCCTAGCTGGTGTTCCGGGGGCGCTGTGTCCTTCCCGGCGCCCTGACCCGACGGGGGTCTGTCTGTCTGTCTGTCTGTCTGTCCCCGGCAGGGCCGATGGACGCCTTCAGCAGCAAGAGCCTGGCCCTGCAGGCGCAGAAGCAGCTCCTGGGCAAGGTGGCCTCGAGGGCCACGGCGGCCGCCTTCCTGGACGAGGCGAGCAGCGCGGTGCTGGACGAGCTGTACCGCGCCACCAAGGAGTTCACGCGCAGCCGCGCGGAGGCACGGAGGCTGGTGCGCGGCCTGGTGAAGGTGGCGCTGAAGGTGGCCCTGCTGCTCCGCGGCGGCGTCCTGGGCGCCGACGGGCTGGCCGCGCTGGGGCGCCTCCGCCAGCGCGCGCGCCGCCTGGCCCTGACGGCCCTGACCTTCCAGCAGGTGGCCTTCTCCTTCGACCGGCGCGTGCTGGCCGCCGGCCTGCTCGAGTGCCGCGACCTGCTGCTCCAGGCCGCCGGGCCGCACCTCACCGCCAAGTCCCGCGGCCGCATCGGCCACGTCTTCGGCCGCCTGGCCGACGGCGACTTCCTGGCCGCGCTCTACGGGCCCGCCGAGCCCTACCGCTCACACCTGGGCCGCCTCTGCGACGGCCTCTCCAGGATGCTGGACGACGGCAGCATCTGAGCCCCGCGCCCCCGGGGTCGCGTCACCCTCCTCACCCCCCCACCGTGGCCGCGCGCCCCGGACAGCTGGCCGTCCCCTTCGGGGGACGCTGACCCGTCTGAAACAGCAGATGTAAGGACCACGTCCCCTCTCTTCCCGCCTGATCTCGCGCAGGGAGTGGGATTCAGCGTGGGGACCCCCCCACCACGCGCCCCCAGAGCGCTGTCCGCCCGGGGCCACCTGTCGTGGCCGCGGTAGCCGGTGGGTGACCCGCCTGCACCCTCAAATCCCTTGATGTCTCCGAAAGCCGGGCTCCCCACTTCCTGTGTCTGGGCTTTTCGTCCTTCAGACGGGGTCACAGTGAACCGGGAGGGAGTGGGACGGGGGAGCTGTGTCCCCCAAATTCCTCTGCTGAAGTCCTAACCCCCAGCGCCTCCGAGTATGACCTCATTTGGAAATAGGGTCGTTACGCATGTCATTAGTTAAGTCGGGTCAGACTACAGGGTGGCCCTGATCCCGTGTGACCGCTGTCCTTAGAAAAAGGGGACGTTTGTGCCCAGACGCAGAGAAGGGCATATGGAGGTACAAGCAGAAACAGGAGGGGGGTGTCTACCAGCCAGGGGACCCCAAGGATGGCCGGCGACCCCCGGCAGCCCGGGGAGAGGGCAGATCGGCCCTCAGAGGGAGCCACCCCGCTGACCCCGATCTCAGACTCCAGCTCCAGAACTGGGAGTGGACGAGTGTCTGTTGTTCCGGCCGCCCGTCCGGGGTACCCTGCCCGCAGCCCCAGGACCGATCATGGGGAGCCGGCTGAGGGCTGCGGTGGGGCCGTCTCGAGGACGCCCCCATCCAGTTGGGATCGCAGCCCTGGCTCCCATGTGGGAGGGGACAGAGCGCGTGGATTCGCGATTTTTGTTGTCAGAAGGGGGCGTGGGTATAAAAGGTTGCAAAACACGGGGGCAGGTCTGGCCATGTTGGCGTCGGGAGGGTTTTCCTGGGCGCCCTCCGTGGAGGGGGATGGGGGGAACCGTGTCCCGTGACTGTTTGGCAGAACCGGGTCTGTTGAGGGCAAAGGTTGCAGACAGGAGGCCTTCAGGCATTAGGCGAGAAGATAGCTTTGCTTGGCCCCACCTGGCGTGAGACATTTGGGGTTAGCTGCCAACATTTAAAACCGAGGAAATCGCGGGTCCCAATCTAGATCTGGAGTTTCTGCGCTGCCCGCAGGTGAAGCTGCACAGAGGCTGTCCCGTCTCTGCTTTGCCACAGTCCCCACCACTCCCTTTTGCCTCTCCCCAGCCTGCTGTGCTGGCTGCCGGGAGACGATGAGCCCGGATCCAGGGCGGCCTTGCTGTGGTCTGGTTTCTGTTTCTCTGAAAAAGCCAGAGGCTTTGGCGTGAGAGCCAGCTGTTCCCACCTCGGCCTCACCCTCTAAGGCAAACTTCTCCTCTTATCTCCGGTCAAGAGATGGCTCTGCAAACTCAAGAACGGACGTGCGTTTCAATGACCCCAGAAGCCCAGATGAAACCCTTTGCCCTCAGCCCTGCTGACCGAGTATTGTCAAGGTGCATGACGCTTTGTACTGTCCCCTGCTGGGCTGTGCAGCCCATCTTGACTCTTCATAAATTTGAGATTTCATTTTAAAAAACCAAAGAACACTACAGAACTCTTTAAATAAAAGCGCACATCTCCCATTTGCCTTATGTGGAAGTGGCGGTTAAACTGCTTGGCGTGTCTTTCTCGTGCCCTCCGGGGGTTTTTGCCTTTTAAATCGAGGTTGCATGTAAATGTCACAGGCCCGTGGCCTCGGTGACAGATTGACGGGCTCGGTTTCCACTCCGCCGGGATGACAGACGAGCGGAGTGGCGGTGCCTACTTCTGTGTGCCCCAGCAAGGGTTCCATTCAGCTCCTCGTCATGAGCAAAGATCCTGGGGCCACAGTGTGGATCTGAAAGCTAATAAAGACACACGCACACGGCACGTGGGGCTCAGGGGGCAGCTTCCTGTGTCCACAGATGCCTCCCGTCCCAGCACATTGCACCCACCAGCTCTGCACCCCAACGACGCCCGGGGTTGGGAAGTGGTGATTCCAGGCTGACCGTGGACCTTCCTCGGGGCCTGGGGTGCATGTCACCCTCGCCAGTGTCCAACGGCCTGGTTTGCAGGAGGCCCCGGGCGACCATAATCATCTCCTGTCCTGTTGAGACTCGCCTGGTCCACTGAACCTCAAAGTCGGGGACGGGAGAGGCTCTTGGCCCCTGGAGGCATCTCCCTGACCCCCGTAGGTCCCTGGGCTCGCAGACCTTGAAGCCCGGGTGTTCTTGGTCGAGTGACCCTCCCCGTGGACGTGGGCGCCCTTCAGAACCTCCCCCACAAGGTGGCACAGGACTCATGCGCATGACAGTGCAGGCGGCCTATTCTTTACCACGAGCATCCCCGGGCCGAGGTCCCCCTCTTCTGCCTGCTCAGGCACCTAACCCTGAAGTCACTCTTACACCTGTGTCCACTGCGGGTGTGGACGGGGTGTGACCCTGGGCGGGGACCCAGGCGCCCTCGGCCACTTCTCCTCTGGCGGTGGAGTCCCGGCAGCGCCCAGCTCCTCGGCTGGCTGGAGGGAGGGCCTCCATCCCTCCAACACGCTCCCCTGTTGAGGACCCCGCCCCACAGCCCCGGGGCTCAGCCGACACAGCCACCGGCTTTCTTTCCCTTTATTTGCTGGCGAGGAGACATGCTCAGAGGTCGGGCTGGGGGTCAGACTCCCAGGGCCCCTCTGAGTGGCTGGGGGATTTGGGGTTCCATTTATTTTTCTTTGCCTGTGGGTGTTTGTTTTTTAAGTCACCGTGCCACAATCCAGCTTCGAAACAGTAGCAAAGCCAGTCACCAGGTGCAGAGGAGGTCTGCCTGGAGCACCCCCCTCCGCCAGCCCCTGGCCTAGGAGCTCCCGAAAAGCCGTGCCCGGAGGTTCCCCGTGCCCGGGGTGACGCGGCTTACCCGCTTCCAACGGGGAAGGGAAGTGGGGGTGCGAGCCCCCCACTGCTGTCCCGGGGTGGGGACCCCACCCCCTGTGCCCGGCCAGGCGGGCACCAGTGCCAGATGCCGCGTCCGTCCGTGTGGTTGCTTTTCAGTGGTCTTTTTTATTTAAATACAAAAGAACGTTTCATTTCTTCCCAGTTAGTCTGGAGGGAGGCCCCCGGGGGAAAATGCCTGAGCACTGCGGAGCCCCGCCTGATCCCACGGGGACGCACGCTGGCTGCAGAAAAGCCGGCGTCCCCCGGGAGCCCCACCTGGTGCCGCGAGGCCTCCCAGGCAGGAAAGACGAGCAGCGGGTCTCAGACCCACACCCCGCGTCCAGAGGAGCAGTGCGGGGGTGCTGGGTGGGTGGACCCTGTCCTGGGGCCTCGGCCACCCCTGAGAGCCCCTCGGAACAGGGCCACATCGGCCCGGGCAGAAAACCAACAGTCCCCCTAGAAAACCAGTGAGGCGCCAGCCCCCGCGGCCCGGCTCTGTCAGCAGAGACTAGGAACCGTCGCCCTCGCCGGGGCCGCTGGTCACAGCTCGCTGCGGGACGCCCTGGCCACAATCACCAGCTTGGACAGCTCGGCCTTGAAGGCCCCGGGCCTGTGGGACACTGCAAAACAAGAAACGTCAGTTGGGCCCTCGCCACCCTGCGGGTTCTCGGGGTCCTGGGCCGGGGGCCGGGCAGGGGAGCCGTCCCCTGAGTGGACTCCACCCAGGAAAGGCTCCCAGCCCCGAGAGTCTTACAGGTGAGGGAAGAAGAAAGGTGGAGAGGTTGGTGGGCCTGTCCTGAGGGCAGTGGGGGCCACAGGAGAGTTCAAGGTGGGCAGAGCCGTGGTCATTTTGGCCACATGGAGAATGGACGGGGGTCAGGGGTGGGACTGTGTCACCTCCTGCTCACACTGACAGATTTGTCAGAGGCCCATGTGACGCTTTTCCAGCAGGACCAGGGAATCCGGCCTCCACCTGCCGTCCCCCACCCGAGCCGGACCCTGACTCCCTGCCCCTCCTCTCCTCCCACTGCGTGCCCTGGGGCTCAGGGTCTGCCAGCAACCCCATCTCCCATCCTCGACCTCCACCCTGAATGCTCCCCAGGCCCTCGAGGACCTGCGGACTGGGCGGGGCTCCTTCCGGACCCAGCCCCTCCCCTAAAAGCCCCCTGCCCCTGCCGTCCCCTCCCCTCCACTTTCACGCCTGGTGACGCCCACAGCCACGTGGGGTCCTTCACCTCGTCTTTCCCTGCCCCTCAGGACCCTCAGGGCCCCCCGACTCGGCGAACCCCCATGTCCATCATCACACTTGCTCGCCCCCCACTGCTCGCACATTGAGCCCCAACTCTGGAGCTTCCCACCCATCTTTCTGCTCAGCACCTGCCCCGCGAGGCTCAGAGGACACGGGGCGTGACCCGCCTCCCCCGTCACACACGCGGTCCCACGGCTGGTACCCGGGTTCCGCCCCACAACCCCTCTTTACGCACCTGCCGTTTTGGTCACTTCGAATTCCTCACTTTTCAGGGGAACGTCGCTCTCCCTTTCAAACGCGGCTTGCGACTGCAAGGAAACGGGAAACTTTGCTAACCGGGGGAGAACGTGGTTCCAATCGCTGGAAGCGCGGACTAAAGCCGCGCGATGCTTTTCTTAGCATGGAAGGGAGAATCCCATAGAAGAGTTGGGTTAATCCACTTAAGAGACCCGTCAACTGGCTGAAAACTTCACGCCTTCACTGCAAATCCTGGGGGGGGGGGAGTATTTACTTCAAGTATTTTCTTGAGTTAATTTGTGGAAATGATACAAGCACGGCAGTCTCTTGAGTGTAATTTTTAAAGATCGGAATGGTGTCTCTTTCAACTCAGCTACAATAACAGAGCTTTAAGGTAAGAGGGGACCTCGGAGAGCAGCTGGCTCAAGGGCGTGGTGGGCCGCCTGATGTGTGGACTTGGAAAGGCCACGGTCCCCAGTGACGCAAACTCTCGCTAGTGTGCTGGTAATCTGGAGATGCTCTCAAGGCCCTCCTGAGCTGACCTGAAGTCAAGGGGATTATCCTCGGGGGCGTGGGTGGGCCTGCCCCCCCCCAGTGCCCTGAAAGGTGCGTCCACGGCGGGGCGGCCCGCGCAGCCCCCACGCCCGCCGGTACTCACGTAGGCCATGCCATACTCGATCTCGGCGCCCCGCACCTCTGCCCGGAACTGTGTGAAGTAGAGATAGGACTTGCCCTGGGGCCTGCAGAGAGAGCCGGGCGCGGTCAGGGGCTGCGCGCGCCCCCTCCTCAAGACGGGAACCGTTTCACGGCGCTGCTGGCTCTGGGGAGGACGGGGCCCCCTCAACATCATCCCCCTTTCCTCTTTGCCAGAACGTTCTTCTGGCTCTTTCCCTTTCGAGCTGTTCTGGGACGGGACCCTTCCTCCTGTTCGTTCACTGAATGGTTTGTAACTGAGTGTCCACGACGTTCCAGGTGTGGCAGTGAGGGCCGGGCCAGCGACAACCCCGGAGGGCGAGAAGTACAGGAGTTAACTAGGAAGGGGCGGGGGAGCATCTCAAAGGTCCCAGGGAGGGTGCAAACGGGGGCATTTCAGGACCCACAAGGTGAGCGTGGCCAGAGCAGCGAGGAGCCGAGGGGAGGGCCGGTGACACGAGGGGACGATGGTGTCTGCCATGTGAGGGCTCCATCGGGCGCGTGTGGAGGGCACACACTGATGGGGGTGGGGGGCGGCAGCCAGGAGAGCCCGGCCGGGGGCGTGTGCAGGTGGGTGGGGGGCGATCAGGGAGCCCCCCGATTCTCTCCGCCCCGTGGCTGCGTGTCCCTGGGCACCGAGAGGGCGGGGCTCACGTGGCAGAGCGAGGCAGCGATCTGCAGAGGATGGGCGCAGGCGGGGGCCTTCCCTGTGACGGGGGCGCGCCCACCACTGGGGCGGCGCAGACGGGCTCTGGCCTGGTGAGGACACTGGGCTCCTGGCCCCGGGGCCTCCGCCTGTGCCAACAGGGGCCAGTCCTGCAGAGCGCGTGAGACCCCCCACTATCTAGTAGACGCCTGCTGTTTATACAATGTCAAGCAGGAGACTGGGATGACGCCCATGAGTATGATTAACACGCGCCGTGTCCTTTAGTTAAATGTCGCCGTCACTGCTCTGTAATTGTGTCCCATTTGTGATCTCTCCCCATGTTGACCCCGGTGCCCTGAGGGTGGGACCTTGGCGTGGGCTTCTTCTGCACACCCCCACAGTGCCTGTGCTGTTCCAGGCGCACAATAAATGCAGGAGAAACGGTCCTCTTGGGCGATAGGCCCCAGGCCGCGGAGCCCGGGGAGCTGGGACAGGACCCGAGGCAGCTCTGTCACCCTCGTCCCTGCCGGAGGGCTGAGCACTCCCTGTCCATCACCCCTCTCGGGCTCACCAGCTGGCTCCCAGCAAGGGGACGAGGAGCATGGACAAGGCACTGAACTGTGACCATGACTGCGGTGACATGGCGGGAGCGTCTGGGGAGCCTGGCCCCCCCCCAGGTGCAGCCCCCACCGCCTGGACTGCACTCCCAGCCCCCCAACCGCTCTGGGCCTCCAGGTCCACGTGCTTCCCTGGGGGCCCCCCCGCCCCCGCCAGCTCCCAGCACGGTCAGGCACCCCTCTCCCGCCCGCACGTGGGTGACGTCCCCCCGCCGGCCTGCGCACCTCTCGGGGTGCAGGACCCCGTCGTGTGTCCGCCCCCTTCCCCTGCTGCCCGGAGCAGCCGCGAGCCAGGATACCGACCACGGCCGGGACCCACCCTCACCTCCAGATGGTGCAGGTGAAGTGCTGGTTGTCTTCGCTGGTCCCCAGACTCATCTGCCACCTCTGGGGACAAAGACAGACACGGGTCAGTCCGCACACACAGCCTGGCTGCGCGCGGCTCGCCCCGAGGGCTTCCAGTTCTGCAAAGCGAGCAAACCTTCCCTGGGCCTCCCGGCCGGAGCCCGGCCCGCAGGTCCCCACGCTCTGCCCGGCGGCGGTGACACTGCTGTGGGACCCATAATGGGGGACATGTGTCACTGTACACTCATCCAAACCCACAGAGCGCACACCACCGAGAGTGACCCTAACGTCAACCACGGGCTTGGGGTGACTGTGACCCGTCCCTGTAGGTTCCTCGACTGTACCAGCTGCGCCCTCTGGTGGCGATGTCGATAACGGGGGCCTGGGGTGCAGAAATATACCAGAATCGCTGTGCCTTCCGCTCAATTTTGCTGTGAACCTCAAACCGCTCTAAAAGATAAAGTCTGTTAACAAAAACAGACACGAGAATAAAAGAAAGGAAGACAGCATATTCTTGCTTGCTTGGAGAAGCATAAACGGTCCTCGGAAAAGACACGGGATTTTAATAACCGTGGTTACACGTAGGATGTGGGCGAGAACTGGGCACATGGAAGGTGCTGGGAAGCTTTTCATGTTTTTCTTTTTGAGCGATGTGAATGTGTTAGCTTTTCAAAAACACTAAATTAAAAAATTTCAAGGTTCCAAAACACATCGCTACCAGTTTATTTTGATTTTCACGGCCTCTGAAAACCCGGCCAAATGGGAACAGAAAACCTACATGACTTCTGGGTGGCCTAAGGCGTTTTTGCGTTTTGCTAGGAAAATGAGTTTACAGCCCTCTCCCAGAGCAATAATGGACTCAGATTACCAGTGTTCCGGGTTTAATGTCAGAGCCTTTTGCTGAAGAGAAACCAGGCCATTTTCACGTTTATTATAATGGGAGTAAATGGTCACCTAGAAGCTTTTTGCCTGTGGCAGAATGTGGGAACCAATTACACCTGCAGGACAGGGTCGCCTCCAGGCCACACCTGCGACCTGGCGTAATTTTTTTCTCTTTAAAAATAAACACCTGTTGGGTGTCAAGGCCTCCGAGAACGGGAAATGGTTTTCTGCTGTGAAATATATCTGGGAAGGTTTTCCATAGCTCTTAAAAGCTCATTCATGAAAATGAGGCAAATATTTAAACATTAAAAGAAAACTATGGGGGCTGGCACTGTGGCCTGGTGGTTAGGTTCGGCGTGCTTGGCTTTGGCGGCCCGGGTTCAGTTCCCGGGCACGGACCCACACCACTCGTCAGCGGCCATGCTGTGGTGGCGACCCACATACAAAATAGAGGAAAACTGGCAATGGATGTTAGCTCAGGGTGAATCTTCCTCAGGAAAAAAAAAAAAAATTGAATGCAAACAAATTTAAAACCAAGAGTTTCTTAGCACTACGGTCAACATCCGTCTGAGTGGTCCTGTGATACATGAACTTGACCATGGCTCGTGGCTGCAGGGCGGGGAGCAGCGAGGTGCCCCCTTCAGCCTGGGCCTCTGTGACCTTCTCTGTAAGGCCAGGGGGATTAGCGTTATAAGTGGCTGGGTATAATAGATGACATGTAAATGATAGCCGCTACTGTTTTTTATTAGGATATAAATAACAGATGGTGAAATGCACCCATTTTAGCGCCCAGTTCTATGAGTTTGACAAATGCATATGGTTGTATCCACCACTCTATCAGGATACAGATCCGTTCTATCTCCCCAAATAGGCCCCTGGTTCCCCCGGGTCAACCCCTTCCTGCAAACTCCTGGTGACCACGGATCTGATCTCGGTCCCCACTGCTGTGGCTCTGCAAAATGTCACCTGAGTGGAATCATCAGTGTGTGGTCTTTTGTATCTGTTTTCACTTCACGTGACAAATTCAAGGTCCATCCAGGTTGCTGTAAGCACCCACAGTTCATTCACTTTTAACAGTGAGAAACAGTTTGCAATATGGTTACACTGTACAGTTGTCCTGTTACATACTGTACAACTCAGTTTTTTTTTTGTTATTGTTGAGGAAGATTGGCCCTGAGCTAACATCCGTGCTCATCTTCCTCCATTCTGTATGTGAGACGCCACCACAGCATGGCTTGATGAGCGGGTGCATCGGTCTGCACCCAGGATTTGAACCTGCGAACCCGGGGCTGCTGAAGTGAAGCGCGCAAGCTTAACTACTACACCACCAGGCCGGCCCCTACAATTCACCCTTTTAAGGTGAATTCAGTGGTTTCTCATATATTCAGAATTATGCAACCATCACCTATAATTCCAGAATATTCCATCACCACAAAAAGAAACGCCACCCCAATGAGTGGTCACTCCCCACCCCCCTCCCCCAGCCCCTGACAACAAACTCATCCATTTTGTCTCTAGAGATCTGCCTGTTCTGGACATTTCCTATAAACAGATTTCCTTCCGTGTCTGGTTCTCTCACTGAGCGTCGTGTGTTCAAGGTCCATCCACTGTGTGGCTGTGTCAGGGCCTCACTCGTTTTCACGGCTGCGTCATATTCCAGTGTGTGGATGGACCGCATCTTATTTATCCACTCATCTGCTGACGGACATCTGGGTTGTTTCCGCTCATTGGCTGTTAGCAATCACGCTGCTACAAACAGTCACGTACAAGTTTTTGTGTGGCCCTAAGTTTTCATTTCTGTTGGGTGGATCGGGTTGTCTGTTAAGTGTGTTTACGAGAAATGGCCAGGTTTCCCAAGTGGCCACACCTCTTTGCGTTCCTGCCAAGCGTGCCGGCACTGAGAGATCACGAATAACCCTGTGCCCACTGTCACCTGACACCACTGGCCTCTCAGGTGACCCGGGAGAAACGAACCACCATCAAAGAAGCAAGATCCGCCGCCCTCCCTCAGAGGCCCTGGCCCCCGAGCCTGGTGTGAGCAGCCCCCTGTGAGCCGCTGCCCTGAGGCCTCCTGGGTGCCCAGACTGGAAACCGCTCTTTCTTCTCTCTGATGAGGAAGCCTTGGACACAGGCCTGGCTGTCTGGAGAAGCGCCCCTGGGCCTCTCGCACCTTCCATTTCAGCTGCTCCAAGGAGCATCTTGGAGGGGCCTGCCTGGGTGCTGCCTAGCAGATCCTGCGGAACATCTCCAACTGTGCCAAATCCGTTTGCTTCCCTCTTAGGTGATTTCCTTCAGGATGAATCCCCTCGTCCAAGACAGAAGAATCACACCTACTGCTGGTTTCAGAGTTTGTGACTCAACTGCTATTCCAAGAGAAGGCCTCAGCCATGGTCACACCGCCCGGAGGGAGTGACCGTGGCTCTCCCTCTGTGCTGCAGTGGACTGTCTACCTCCAGGTTCAATCAGGGAGGCACATGTGCTGTTTTCCAAGTTGCTGGTGACACTGGGCACGTCCTGGCACAGAGCAGTGGGGAGGGGCCTGCGTCTGGGGACCGCGGTCACCTCCCAGCTGCGGGAGCCTGGAGATTCCTCCACCTCTGGGCCTCCGTGTCCTCGAGTGTGAAAAGGGGATGATGCCAGAACAGTATCGCGTCCTGGGGCCATGGCGAGGATGAAATGCGATGCGATGTGGCTTAGCACCGGGCGGGCGCCTGATAAACGCCACGCTAGCGGGGCTGTGGCCATTTTATTGTCTGGTAAGTTGACTGTCTACACGACGAAAGAGGCATCGGCAGGGCTGACACGTGGAAGAGGGCGCTCTGGGACTCATTCCGGAGCTCCTGGGGGCCAGGGCTGGACCGCGGGCCTTGGCTCGCTATTAGGAAGAATGTTCCACCACTTGGCGCCCTCCCACAGCGGAGTGGACGGTCTGGAGAAGCAGCGAGGCCTGGAGGTGTGGGAGGAACGGGCGGATAATCGCAGGACGCCCACTGTCCGAGTGGCAGAGAGAAGGGCGGACGACGGCGGCGATGCTCCGCGGGAGAGTGGCCACCGCTGGCACCGCTGGGAGGGGTGTCACCAGTCGCTTGCTACACGTTGTTAAAACACTGCCGCTGGGAGTCATTGACTTTTATTTACAAAGTGGATATATCTAAGATAATAAAAGTGGATTTCATGTCACTTTTGCCCAGTGGTTTTCAACTGGGGATAATTCTGTCCCCCGGGGGACACTGGGTGACATCTGGGGACGTCTGTGGTTGTCACACTGGGGGTACTCCTGATATCGAGTGGGTGGAGGCCAGGGATGCTGCTCAACCCCCCACAGCACCCAGGACAGCCCCCCACAGAGAATGACCGGGCCCCATGTCAGCAGTGCCGAGGGGGGAGACCCCTCTGGCCCATTTCACTGTCCTGAGGGCAAGACAAGGAGATGGACGCAGAACCAGCCTGCTGGGAAGGCCACGCATGTGCTGTAGGGGTTCCCGGGTGGCCGCCGTCTCTCAGACTCTACACTGTTATGGGATGCGGGACCACAGAATGTTCTAGAATGAGAGCAGTGTTTCCTGAAGTCTGCGTGTTGGGGAGGAAAGCGCAATAAGGGATACAAAAAATGTTTTTAACTGATTTTCGCAGCGACGGTTAAGTCTTCCTTCTCAGTTTTGTTCCACTCTTTCTAACAGTCGCCAGGAGAAAGTCTGCTCTGCGCCTCTTCTCGAACACATGCTGCTCTCCCTCCAGACAGAACCAAGCAGCGGCACCCAGCCAGAACTGAAAACAGTCTTTTCTTCTCAGAGGTTTTACGTGTCACGGTGCATTCCTGGCTGTACCAGTCGTCTGTTGCTTATGTATCAGTTTCTGGGGCTGCTGTAACAAACTACCACAAATTTGGTCGCTTGCAGCAACTGAAATTTACTCTCTCACAGTCCTGGAGGCCAGAAGTCCAAAGTCAAGGTGTAGCAGGGCCGTCCCTCCGGAGGCTCCAGGGGAGGGTCCTTCCTGCCTCGCCCAGTTCCCAGTGGCTCCCCGTGTTCCTTGGCTCGTGGCCGCATCACTCGTCTCTGCCTCCATCGTCACGTGGCCTCTCCTGTGTCCTCTCCTCTTCTGTCAAATCTCCCTTGTGTGCCCTGGCTGACACCCTGATTTCGGTTTTATGAAGCACCCAGCACAGCCGCTGGGACCTCTGACCTCCAGAACCGTGAGATAACAAACGGGTGTTGTTTTGAGCTTCTGAGCCTGTGATACTTGTTAAAGAGCACAGAAAACGAATACAACACTCCTAAGAGAGGCTCAAGGGAATGGCAGATTCACATCTCACCTCCCTCTTTCTGTCCAGACATCAGCTCACTTTGTGGAATTATGAGTGGACTCTGCCACCACTAGTTAAAGGGAGCACTCTCGCTTTTATTGGTAAAGCAAGAATAGTTTAATGAGTGGAAGTTAACACACACACACGACCCAGCCCTGCTGTCCCCTGGGAGCATCTCTGGATGACAATGGACATCGTCATACTAAACTACGAGGAATTTTGAACCACTCACCTCATTGGTCCCTCCTTGAGAAGCGTAGGTGAACACACAAGTGTACTTGCCCTAAGAAGGGAAGGGGAAAAAAGGCTTGGTAGGAGGTAACCTTTAGTGCTTACGTGCAGGGCCTCAGGAGCCTCAGGCCATCCTTCCGAGACGCAGAATCAACCTCAGCCCTCTTTTGGGCATTTGTACTCAGGGGACAGGAGGCCAGATCGCTTTGGCCCATGTCCCTGGAGGCCAACCCTGCCAGGCCTCCCAGGTCTGCAGACCTCCTGGGTCAGGAGATGTGGGGATGAGGAACAGGAAGGGAGAGGTCACCCCCCTCCAGCACCCAGTCATCTAGGAACACGGGCTGTGGAAGCAGGGACACCTGGGGGCCCCGTCTCTGCTCTGCTGTGAGCCTTGGATAAGTGCAAACTTTTCTGGGCCTCCGTTTCCTCATCTGTAAGATGGGCTTAACACATGATGCATTCGGCACAAGACCCGGCGCTAAGGAAGCACTCAACAGACAGTGACTGTTGATATGGTTGTTACAGACAAGGAAAAGGAGGAGGGGGGAGGAAGCAACTTCTCCAACAAGCTGGGGACAGCACTGGGCTAGACCCAGGCCTGCTGCCTCCACGTAGAGGCCTGGCCTCACATCTCAACGTAAAGGATGTGGGGCCTTGTGAAGTGGAAGGAAAGAGCAGTCTGTCCCCTTCCTCCCTGGTTAGAGCTGCAGCAGCGACCTTCTGCAGGGCCCGGGGCATACACCCCTCAGCCTCCAGCTTCCCTCTCCCCACCTCTGGGTCCGCCCTGCTCTCCGATGGCCGGCCACTCGCCTGGGGCTGGGGGACAGGACTTGCTCTGGGCAAGTGAGAGGAGACGGGGACTGAGGCTCGTGACCCAGCCCCCTCAGAGTCGCCAGCCCCCAGGAGGCCTCTAGAAGTTCAGATTCGGTGATGATCCTGCACTGGAGTCCCGCGACCCCTGGTGGTCCGTGCCCCCTCCTCCAGCCCCGCCCCCGAGAGTCTGCGCCCCCTCCTCCAGCCCCGCCCCCAGGGGTCCGCGCCCCCGCCTCCAGCCCCGCCCCTGGTGCTCCGCGTCCCCTCCTCTAGCCCCGCCCCCAGGGGTCCGCGCCCCCTCCTGCAGCCCCGACCCCGAGTGGGTATGCGCCCCCTCCTCAGGCCCCGCCCCTGGTGCTCCGCGTCCCCTCCTCCAGCCCCGCCCCCGGGGGGTCCGCGCCCCCGCCTGCAGCCCCGACCCCGGGTGGGTCTGCGCCCCCTCCTCAAGCCCCGCCCCCGGGTGGGTCCGCGCCCCCTCCTCGGGCCCCGCCCTAGCGCGAGCCCCCGCGGCGGCGGCTGAGGCACGTACCCCCGGGCCCACGTCCTGGGAGAAGGAGTGCACGACGCCGCCGGGCCGCACGTCAAAGGCCACCGTCGTGGGCTCGGACGCCGCCTCAGCCGGCCCCAGCGCCACGGCCGCCAGGAGCAGCGCGGCCCACATGCTCGCGCCGCCACAGCTCCTCCCGCCGCTGGGCGCCACGTCAAAGGCCACCGTCGTGGGCTCGGACGCCGCCTCAGCCGGCCCCAGCGCCACGGCCGCCAGGAGCAGCGCGGCCCACATGCTCGCGCCGCCACAGCTCCTCCCGCCGCTGGGCGCCACGTCAAAGGCCACCGTCGTGGGCTCGGACGCCGCCTCAGCCGGCCCCAGCGCCACGGCCGCCAGGAGCAGCGCGGCCCACATGCTCGCGCCGCCACAGCTCCTCCCGCCGCTGGGCGCCGCCATCTTGGACTGGGTCCGCACGGCAGGGGCGGCGACGGGGCGCGGCGAGGGACACGTGGGGCGTCCGCGGGAGGCCACGTCCTCGTCGGCGCGGCCACGTGACCCGGCGCGCCCCGCCCCCTGCCGCCGGCGCCGCCATCTTGGGGGGCTTGGGAGTCCTGGGAGAATCCCTGGGGTGGGTGGCCTTGGAGCCCGTGTCCTGGCCTCAGGGTCCAGTCGTCCCTCACTTACTAGCCGTGGACTGACCCTGCTTCTCTTCCAAGTAGTAAATGTAGACGGAATGAGGGAAATGGAGGATCACCATTAGACTAACGCCTCAAAAACGTTGCAGCCAAGATCCGTGGATGGATGCTCAATATTGGTGCCGGAAAGGATGATGTGAAACAGGCTATTTGCACAGTCTCCAAGTATTTCCCCCCAAGACACTTATGAGTTACAAAGAGAAAAATAGTCATCTACAACGGAGACACCGTCTTTAGCCCAATGATCAAAGTTAACGTCACCAGAAATGAGACGGCGACATCACAGAGCCGCAGACAGGAAGCACCGAGGGGGACACACCTTCCCAGCGGTGCCTCTGGAACTCCTGCCCCAAATGCACGACCTCAATCTAATCTAAGCAAACATTCAGCACCCCCCGCCCCCGTGGCTTAGCGGTTAAGTGCGCATGCTCCGCTGCTGGCGTCCTGGGTTCGGATCCTGGGCGCGCACCAACGCACCGCTTCTCCAGCCTTGCTGAGGCCGCGTCCCACATACAGCAACTAGAAGGAAGTGCAGCTGTGACATACAACTGTCTACTGGGGCTTTGGGGGAAAAATAAATAGAATTTAAAAAAAAATTTATTAATCTAAGCAAACATCAGACAATCCCGAGATGAGGGGTGCTCTACAAGATAACTGGGCAGTACCCCTCAAAACCGTCATGAAAGACAAGGGCCGAGGATCCATCTCAGAATGAAGGGACCAAGACCACGAGAGGCAATGTGGGCCCCTCGACTGGATCCTAGTCTTGGTTCTGGCTGCTGTGACAAAAATGCCGGAAACGGAAGGACTTAAACAACAGACGTTTGTTTCTCACGGCTCTGGAGGCTGGAAGTCCCAGATCAAGGTGCAGGCAGATCCCTTGTTTGGGGAGGGTCTGCCTTCCGGCCATAGATGGCCCTTCTCACTGTGTCCTCACGTGGTGGCAGGGGCAGGGAGCTCTCTGGGGTCTCTGTTATAAGGGCTCTAATCTCATTCACCAGGGCCCCACCCTCATGACCTAATCACCTCCCAAAGGCCCCACCTCCTGATATCATCCCCTTGGGGGTTAGGATTCAACATATGAATTTTGGGGGGACACAAAGATTCAGTCCATAACAATCCTGGACCAGAAAAATGACCTAGAGGGAGAAATGGTGAAATCCAAATGAAGTCTATATATGAAATACATTAATTAAATTTTTTAATTCAAATTAATATATTAATTTATTAGTATATTAATAGAGTATATAATGCAGAATTAATATATTACATGTTAATATAATTAATATATAATTGACACAATTATATATTTATATATAAATATAAATATGTATTATATCAAAATAGATATAATTTAAACATGTATGAATATAATTAATATTATTATGTATTAATATATTAATATATTAATATATTAACTTAAATCAATATAATTTAAATTAGCAATTATTTGATATAATTAAATATATCAATTAATTATATTAATCATGTAATTTAATTATATATTAGATAATAGGATGGTATTGATGTTAATTTCCTGACTTCAATAACCTGGCTTGTGCCACGGTTACATAAGATGTTAACATTAGGGGAAGCTGGGTGAAGGGTATTTGAGAACACAACCATTTCTTCAGCTTTTCTGTGAGACTGAAATTACTTCAAAATTAAAAATTAAAAAGAAAATAATTCCTACCTCAGGGAGTTGTCAGGAGGATTAACTGAGGGAATGTAGGTAAAGCTCCTACAAGTAAGAACTCTAAATACTGGCCGTTACTAGCATTAGAAGCCGACGAAGTAATCCCAAGTTCTCACCTACAGTAGGAAATCTTTTTTTTTTTTGCTCACGTATTGCTGAAAATTTCAAGAAAACACTGGTGGCCAGATCTGGAGTGTCCAGAATTAGAATTAGGCTGGTTTTCCTAGTCCTTCCTGGCTAGAAAGAACAGAATGCAGAGAGACAATGTCACAGGTGACCCCTGAGCGGGACTCCATCGCACCCTGTGAGGAATCTAATTACCCCCAACACAGAGGAGGGGCAATTTCAGGGGGATCAGGAGGGTCATGCGGTGGACTGGCTATCCTGCAGATAACTCCACCCACGGGATTCATGCTTTCCTGCTGTGGCAGCCTCTCCTACACTGGGACACCTGCTTGTGTTAAGAAATTTCTTCCGAGGCTGCCCAGTGGCATAGTGGTTAAATTCCTGTGCTCCGCTTCAGCGGCCCCGGGTTTGTGGGTTCAGATCCTGGGCTCGGACCTACATACCTCTCATCAAGCCATGCTGTGGCGGCGTCCCATGTACAAAGTAGAGGAAGATTGGCACAGATGTTAGCTCAGGGACAGTCTTCCTCAAGCAAAAAAGAGGAAGATTGGCAACAGATGTTAGCTCAGGGCCAATCTTCCTCACCAAAAAAAAAAAAAAAAGAAAGAAAGAAAGAAAGAAAAGAAAGAAAAATCTTCCTCCTTGCAACTGCCTGCTCTGGATCCATTAGAACCTAGCCGCATAAACTGGACGACCGCTGTCCTATTCCTTCAACATTTTGCACAGCATGGCTCCGTTGATGTCTTTCCCACATCCCACCACGGTATTTGACCTTCAGCCTCTCACTATGAAGGGTTCGATTAGTGGCCGAGCGCTGTTGCTAACAAGATATTTCAACTGTGAGCTGTTTCAGTAGGTTTGTGTGTGTTTGTGTGTGTGTGTGTTTTCTTTTCAGAAAGATTGAGCCCCAAGCTTCTTGAAAAAACAAAACAAAACAAAAAACCCACACTAAAGTGATTAAAAGAAAAAACCATCATTCCAAAGATCCTGCTTTCTAATCTTGACATGAAATTTAGCAGCCCTAAAGGAAAAAAAGATTTGATAACACCAAGTATCACGATTTCTCTCTCTACCATCAGGACACCACAAACGGCAGGGGGTGTGGATGTAAAGGGATTGGATAGAGGAGCTCCTTTGTGATGAATGAGCAGTTCTGCATTTTGATTGTGTTGGTGTTACAGGACTCTATACAGGTGAGAGAGGAACAGAACCACTCACACACAAATGAGCACGTGTGAAAGCTGTTAAAATCCAAAAAGCTCTCAAGTCTAGTTAATTGCACTGTGCTCATGTCAGTTTCCCGGTTTGGACAATGCACTCTGTTAGGTAAGCTGGGGGAAGGGTACACCGGACTCTGCACTATTTTTGCAACTTCCTATGTGTCTATAGTTATTATTTTTTTAAAATACCATAAATATGTTGGAAAGGCAAATGACAAACCAGGAAAATATCTGCAACCGATATGACATGGGTTTGTTGTGTTTTGTGTGTGTGTGAGGGAGATCAGCCCTGAGCTAACACCTGCCAATCCTCCTCTTTTTGCTGAGGAAGACTGGTCCTGGGCTAACAGCTGTGCCCATCTTCCTCCACTTTATATGGGACACTGTCACAGCATAGCCCGACAAGCGGTGCATCAGTGCGCGCCCAGGATCCGAACCCAGGCCGCCAGCAGCGGAGCACACGCACTTAACTGCTACGCCACGGGGCGGGCCCTGACACAGGGTTTTATGTTCATGTATATGGGTTCCTGCCAGTTAGGGAAGAGCTAAGCCGTTCCACTAGAAGAGGAATCGAGCACATATAGACAATCTGAAACAGCATCGGGGACCCTCCCGCTGACGGAAACCCCACCAGTGGGGGTGGACACTAGCGGCCCATGTAGCAACCTGGGAGAAACAAACGCCTCTTAACCTGCCATCTCAGGGAGACTGAGACTGACTGCCAGCAGACACTTGTCCTTTTGTAGCTGCCCATCATCCATTCCTGCTTCCTGTTGGCACCCCACTTCCCTTTCTGTGCCTCGTTTCTGTGACTTGTGACTAGTTCCCTCCTCCACTTTATTTCAGTGGATTGGGTGAAAGACATCTTGTTCCTGAGATGATTTTAAACATTCATTGGCTGAGCTTCCTACCCATAAAACATTTTGAAATCCGCAACATAGTTCAATTTGCAACATGTATGACAATGGATTGATTTCCTTCATATATAAAGAGTGTCTACAAATCAATGAGGCGGACAGGTCAAAAGAAAGGTGGGCAAATGATTACTAGTAAACAAGTGTCTTAAAACATGAAAATATCCCCACACATAAAAGAAATTTGAGTTCAAATTACAGTGAGATGACATGTTTCACCCGTAAGATTGGCAAAGACAAAAATGTGTGATAACACGTAGTGCTGGTGACGGAATGGAGAAGCAAGGCCATTTCTCCCCTCTTGGCAGGAGTGTACACTGAGGCATTCTCTTTGGAAGGCAATCTGGCAATATTCTTCAAAATTAAGAATGAATATGCCTTTCTTTTGTTAATTCCTAGAAGATATTCCTAGAATAGTTTACCCTATAAACTCAAAACATATGCCCCAAAGATGCACAAGGCTATTTGTTGAAGTATCAATTTTCTAGGGGTTGGCCAATTACAGCCTGTGGGTCAAATCTGGCCAGCTGCCTGGTTTTGTAAATAAAGTTTTATTGGCACACAGCCACGCCCACTCATTTACATATCCTCCGTGCCTGCTTGTGAACTAGGAGGGCGGAGTTGAGTAGTTGGGGGCACAGACTGTCCGGCCTGCAAAGCCTAAAATATTTATGATTTGGTTCTTTACAGAGAAAATCTCCTGTCCTCTGATTTATACTGATTTCATATAAAAAGCCCAGAATAACCCACATTATCCCTTGATAGGTACCTGGCAAAATAAATTCTGGCACATTCACAGGGCGGGAGAGAATGCAGGTATTAAAAATATAGACTGGGGCAGGGTCTCCTCTGGGGGGGGGGGTGCGTCTCTCCTCTCTATACCCTTTTATTTGTTGAGCCATTAAAAATAAAAGCGGAGCTTCCCAGAGGCTGGACAGGGTGACCGCGCAGGGCAAGGCCAGCCTGCTGTTAGGAACTCAAGCGCGCGAGCGCCGTCGGCACAGCCACCAGCCTCTCTCGGGCTCTCGGCTGCTGGGACAAACGTGAACAGGTGCACGGCCTGCGCTCCTGGGTTGGTGTTTCCTGACCCCTGAGCCAGGGTGTCAGGCCCCTGGATAAGCGCAGACGCAAAAGGGGGGCGCATCCTCCAGAAGGATGCGCACCTGGCTGTGCCGGGCCCGGGAGTCTGGGCAGGAACCGTCCCCACCGGACCCGACTGATGGGGGGGGGGGTCTCTCCCAGTGAGGGGCGGGCCCCCTCCCGCTCAGAGGAGCCCCTCCACCAGCCCCAGGGCTGGAAGGAACCTCATTCAGGCAGGTGACCACGCTTACACCTGGAATCGTTTAATGAGTCTACTTCTGCCACGCATAATTATAAAAGAATAAGAATCGACAAAAATATTTTCTTTCCATAATATGTAGAGGTGGTTCGTTTCTGATGGGGCTTTTTTTTTTTTTTTTTTGCTTCTTTTGTTCTTTTTTGCCCCCCCGGCAGAACTGTTGGCGGGGAGGGAAAGGGAGGAGGAAGGATTACCCTGAGGCGGGATGGCTCCACTCCCGGCGCCCGCGCGCTCGCGGCCTGGGGGACTCGGCTCCCCGCTCCCGGAGAAGCGGGGCTCCCCGGGCGCCGGCGGGTGGCCCCCGCGGCGCACCCCGATTCTAATTGAGGCACCCCTTGCTGTCTTTTAAATAATGATGAAAAACGCCCTCCAGAACAAAGCACGGGGACGCGGTGGGCGGGCGGGGAGGCATCGCATGCTCGGTGCCGCCGGGGCTGGCCGGGCAGCCTCTGCCGGCCTCCTGCTCCCGGACCACAGCGGGGACAGGAGCGCATGGCTTGAAAAGTGCCTCATGGGTGTCGGCCGCATCTCTCCGTCCTGGCAACCAAGAAACAGCAGGCAGGAAACCCAGGAGCATTAACAACGGATCAAAGGCGCGGGGCGGCGAAGGCGGCCCCCCCGGGGCGGGCTGTCCGGCGGGGGCGGCGGGGCCACTCGGGCGCGCCCGCTGGTCCCCCGGCGGCGGCGGCGAAGCCACTTGTGCTCTGGATGCGCGGCCCGGCGCCGCGGGGCTCAGAGGTATTCCTGTAGAAAGTGCAGCAGCGTGACTTCGTAGTGCTCGCCGGACTCCGGGCAGCGGATGCTGTGTCTCTCGTTGGGGTAGATCTGGGGGGACAGGGAAGGCAGGGCTGCTGGCACCCAGGGACCCTCCCTGAGTCGCTCCCCACCCCTGCCCCCTGAAGCCCCCGCCCCCTTTCTGGCTCGGGGCGGCTCCCTCGGGGCCCCCGCCCCCTCCCATCCTGGGTGGAGCGGGGCGGAGAGGGGAGGGCAGGCGCTCTGCTCTGGAGCCGACGGGCCAGGGTTCGAGTCCCGCCTCTGCCGCCGACTTGCTGTGTAACTCTGGGCAAGCGACCACCTCCCTGACGGCGGCCGCCCCCTCGAAAACAGGGTGACGAAGACGGACCTCTAAGGTCTCTAAAACGCACAGCCCTTGCACATCGGAAAGACTTCACAACCCCTACAGCCGCTCTGGCCCCCACACCCGGGAAGTGGTGGGGAATGAACCCATCTTGGCGAAGGGGGCGGGGCTTCAAACCTCAGCGACCTTGGTGCCCTCGACCCGAGTCACTTCCACTTTACCAAAGGCCGCGTTTGAACTGCACACGGAAGGGCCCCAGGATGGCCCCGCACCCTGCCAGGCTTTGCCAAGTTTTGTGGGTCCTCCCCTCACCCGACAGGGATCATCCCCAGAGAGGGGCAGGGACGTGTTGGTGCCAACAGCCGTGCCCAAGGAATCACCAAGTCCCTGAGACCTGGCTGGCCGACATCCAGGCCCTTGGGTGGAGGGTGACAGGGCACAAGTTTTGTCTTTGGCCATGACGTGAGGGCTCCCACACCCCAACTGTTCTCTGATGGGCCCTGGAGGCTCGAGGGACAGGCGTGAACGTGCTCCACACTCGCCCCAAGAACCCAGCCCCGGTCTCACGCTGGCTGGTACCAGGGCCAGGGGGCCCATTCCTCACCTCTTCCTGCCAGCGAGGCGGGTTTCTGAGCTAAACCATTCCTTCCTCGCCAGACCCACCGCTGCTGCCCCAGCCCATTACCCCGGGAACGAATCAAACTGCCCACAGGTCTCCCCTCCTCCACCCTTGCCTTCTTTAATCCATCCCTGAATGAATCAAAATTCTGATCATGCTGTCCTCAGCTCAGACCTCTCTAAGTACTTGCCAGCCTGACGTCAAGATCCGGCTTCCTGGGTCCTGCTGCCCTGCAGCCTCACGGGCCCCACTCCTTCCCTGCCCAGGGCCCCTGCTGCCTGGGACAGACCCTGCCGCCCCCACCCCCTCACACCACCCTGGGTTCTGGTTGCCTGGTTACTTCTCCCTCCCCATGGGCTGTGAGGGCAGGGAAGGGGTCTGTCTGTGCTCCCAGCCCCACTGTTTCAGGGTGTCTAAAACAGAATGCGGGGAGTGCTCCATCACCCCCAAACACTGCCCCATCCCCACCCCGACCCCCATGGCGCGTCTCATCTCACTTTCGACCTCTGCTGGGGAGAAGGGACACAGGACACAGGCCCCAGCCTGTGTGCTACATGCTCTTCCTGAGAGAACTGGCCGGCACAGCCCCACTGGAGGCAAGGGTTATCGTGCCCATTTCACAGACGAGGAAGCGAGGCCCGAGGCTCATGGACCTGCCGCCTACGGCCGGCCACACAGGCAGGGAGTGGCTATCCAGCTACCCGGCTCAGGATCTGGGGCTCAGAAGGGACTTTCGAGGTTCCATCCCAGCCTCACCTGACTTCTTCGCTCTGATCTACAGCTGCCTCTGGCCTGTTTTCGAGGAGCATGTGCGGTGGTGTGTGTGTGTGGGGGGGGGCGAGAGAGGCCGCCATGAGGCTCCCCGACAGCTCTTCACCCCCACAGGGAGCTCTGTCTCCCTCCTGCCATGTCTGGCAAGCGCGTGCCCAGCCACAGGACCCTGAGGCCTGTCCCTCCCACCCCGGGACCCTCAGTTTCCCCATCTGTTGCATGGCAATATGGCGCTCCCGACAGTTCAGAGCCCGTGGAGGTGACTGAAAAGCAGAAAGACTGTGTGGCAGCAGCGTTTAATAAAATCTATCCCTCGTCTCCAGCACACCTCCTGAATCCACCAGGCCTCTCGCTCCCCACTGCCGGCCCCTCTCCTGCCCGGAGAACTGATCGTGGCTCACATCCCACTGGTCCCCCTGGGCCCCTGTCTGCAGGGCAGCAGAGGGATGCTGGTCACATGGCAAGGAGACTAGTCACAGCCCTGCTCACAGGCCAGGACACTGCTCCTCACCCTTAGAACAAAATCCAGCTGAGGCCCTGCCCCTCACCTCCAAGGCCCTCCTCCTCACGGCTGAGGCCCCGCCCCCACCTCCAAGGCCCGCCTCCTCACGGCTGAGGCCCCACCCTTCATTTGCAAGGACCGCCCCTTACTGCTGAAGCCCCGCCCCCACCTCCAAGGCCCACCTCCTACTGCTGAGGCCCCGCC